ACTGCCATATTTTGTACCAGCTGTAATTTCCAAACCAAGCACAAGGGTTCCGGCTTCACTGCCTCCCTCTACCCATGGAGCAAAGATAGGGCTGGGAGGGTGCCCAGACTGGGGTCCCTAGAAATCCCCCCCTTGCCTGAAGAAGAGGGAGGGGAGGAGGAGGAGGTGGAGAATGCATTAGTGATATTGAGCAAGCTCCACCTGGCCTGATGCTCCAAAACCACCCCCATAGTCAGTGTCAGATGAGGAGAGAGCAGGAGGGGAAGAAGAAGAAAGGGCAACAGGCAGGGATGATGCTTGCCATCTGCCCTTCCCCCTCCTGACTGCCTCACTTCTCTTCTGTCCAGGCCAAGCTGCCTGGCACATACTCCTGGCAACCCCCTCCACCAGCCAGGGTATCTCTGCTGTCCACCTGCTGTGGCTACTGGTGAAGGTGGGGTGCTGCTGTTGTCCATCAACCTCTTCTGGGTCTGGCAGGACTGCTTACCATGCATGGAAATGGAGGTGCCAGTAGTAGCAGCCCCAGAGTCCTCCCCTTCCTCAAAAGGAAAAGATTCAGTGGTTGCCACTGTCAGAAGGGGCTGATGGGAGTCAGCAATACCTGATCCCCACCAGTCGCCACAGTGAACCACCTTACCTTCCATTCCTTCCCACTGCCCTGCCCTGCCCAGTGCTTCCTGCCTGAGAAGGAAGCGCAGCACAGCACAGGGCAGCAAGAAGGAAGGGAGGGCAAAGTGGGTTGTAGTGTATCAGCCATCTAGGAAAGATGTTGCTGCTGCCTTTCTGGGTCTGGCAGGACTGCTGGCCAAGCAGGAAAGAGAGGTGATGGTGGCAATAGTGGCAATGATGGTGATGATGATAGTGGCTGCCATAGACTCCTTTCTTTCCATGGAAGGGGAGGAATCTGTGGCTGCCATTGCCAGCACCTCCATTTTCTGGCATGGCCAGCAGCCCTGCCAGACTCAAAAGGGGCTGCCAGACACCAGCAGCACCCTATCTCTACCAGAGGCTGCAACGGATGAATGGCAAAGGCACCCTGGCTGGTGGAGAGGGACAATCGGGGTGTGTGTGTCTTAGGATGGACGGTGAGTGATTGCCCCACCAGGTGTTTATTCTCCTTTCAGGTGTCACCCAGTGTGATCCTCACCCACACATTCCCCTAGTAATGCCCCTAAATGATGGTAAGGTAAGGAAATGCCACTAAAAAAATATATGGGGAAGAGGAAGAGGTCCTGTTGGGATTTTTTTAAGTGGAAAGGAAGTGTGTCCACAAAACATGCAGGGAGTTGTGGATGGGGACTGCTTAGGTATATGATCTCTTGTTTTGAACACACAAAACCTTTGGAATTCAGTTAGAATTACCTTGTCTTTCTTTGGATTTTTGAAGGGCACCAGAGGTATATATGTGTGCATGTGCAGGGCTGTCTGTGTGTCCATGAGTCTTGTCTATCTGTCCATCCTGAAGCTTGCTAGCTTATCTGTCCCTCCTAAGGCTTCCTTGCTTTTTTCCAGAGGAATATAACACATCCTGAAAGTGTTTCAGCTCAGGTGACCTTGAGAACCAGTCCAACTGGTATTAAATAATTCAATGGCTCACTGTTTCCTGGAACTGACTCACAAGCCAATCCTTAAAGCCCCACCTTTGGTTTTCCCATGATCAGATGAAAGATCCCAGCAGCAGCAGTTAGTGGAGGATGCTAGGAGATGGAGTCCACATCTGAAGCACGTTTCATTGGAGGAAAAGAAACATAATGACTTTAACAAGATCAAACTAGAAAGTCAAAAGTAGTGAAGGAAATAAAGAATCTGTGGCACTTAAAAAACCTGTTCTTGCATGGACTGTAGTCTATGAAAACTTTCAAGTGCTACAGGTTCTTTGTTGTTCTTTCTGCAAATAGGCCTTTGGAAACTGTAATAAACAGTGAGCAGCTTTTGAACTCCATACAATGCTTGTTCTGCCTGCAGAAGATAATGCTCCAATAGCTGCCTTCCCAATCCCCAACCCATGAAATCTTAATTGAGCCAGTAACTTGGTGTCCAGGTTGTGGCTTTTCAGGACGCAGGTGGGGGAATCACATGATGGAATAGTTGAGGATCTCTCTACTCTCCCTCCCCTCCAATTAAAATTAAACACCTGTACAAATAAAGCTGGAGCCAGTGTGGCATAGTGGTTTGAGTTTTTGACTACGACTCTGGAGACCAGGGTTCAATTCCCAGCTCAGCCATAAAACCCACTGGGTGACCTTGGGCAAGTCACAACACTCAATCTCAGAGGAAGGCAATGGTAAACTGCCTCTGAACAAATCTTGCCAAGAAAACCCCATGAAAAAAAGGGTCACCATAAGCCAGAAAAGACTTGAAGGCACACAACACACACACACACACAAATCTGGCTTGCATAGGAAGCAGCTCGGTTGTAGCCCATGATCAACATCTGCACAAGCTGTGTTTAAGAGTACTAGAGCACATAACCACATTAACTGCCAAACACTGTGGATGAATAGAGAGATCTAGAAGGAGGAAAGGACACAGACAATCTGGAAATACCCAGAAAAGCTGCTTGCTCAAGATGTCACTGTTATGTTTGAAGGGGGAAAGTGATTGTACAGAGGGATGCTATGGTGTAGTTCTCTGTCTGAAATTGCATTACAAATTATTTACACACACATGCTTATATATATGCTTACATACACACACACACACACACACACCTGCAACTTTCTGATGCAACAGCAATCCATGCCACACTTGCAAAACTGAAGATGAAAGTATCTGGGAATTACATTATGCAACTGCTCAGATACTGCAATTGCTCTCTTACAAAAGCAAACTTGCACTCAGGAAACAAAAAGACATTTTAAAAAGTGTGTTGGGAAAAGCCTCTGAAAAAGTTCCTGCCTTTATTTTGTAAGCACACATGATTGTTCTTGTCTCAGCTAGTAGAATCTGCCCACTGTTCTTTTCAGGGCAGGTCAGCAATGCCACCTGCTGTTCATCTGGGGCTTTTGCAGAGTTACTAGACACTCAAGATACGGCCTTTGCCCCACAGCTTTTGTCATTGAGCTCTAATTCCTATGGTGGATGAGAGCCAGCATGGTGGATTGAATGTTGGACTAGGACTCTAGAAACCAGGGTCAAACCCCTGCTCAGCCATGGAAATCCACTGGGTGACCTTGGGCAAGTTACACTCTCTCAGCCTCAGAGGGAGACAAAGGCAAAAAGTCCCTCTAAACTAATCTTGCCAAGAAAACACCATGATAGGGCTGCACTAGGTTCACCACCAGTTGGAAGCAACTTGAACAGACTTACATACGCATATGTGGTATCAGTTAGCAAGCTAAATCTTCCAGAACTAATGTATATTGTCTTTAATATACTGATACAAATGTCTTTCTATTTCATTGTCCTGAATGTTTCTACTTTTTGGACAGTACGTTCATTTCATTCTGGATGTCTGTCACATTTTTCTTTGTGGTGATGCCATGGCACAACACTGTATTTTGTTCCTTCCAGTGTTCTCCATCTCTCTCCCACCCCCTTCTGATTTCAGTTCCTTTGCTCTTTTCCTGGCATTTGTCTCTTTTCCTTTTTTAAAGCCTAATTTCTGCTTTCCACATTCTTCCCCCCCCCCTCCATTTTTCTTTCTAACCATGAGACTCAAAATGTGTAGGCTTCCCCTCAGCTTCACCCATCAGTCTGAAAATGCATAAGCAGGTGCTTATCTACAGACTATTTGGTGGGCATTTACTTGTTCCTCAAAATGGGGAGAGGCAGTAGCAATACTAACTCTGGTTTCTCTGCCAACATGTCTGTAAAGAAACGATGTTCTAGGTGAAGATTTAGCATGTAGATCCTGGTGTTTCCAAATATGCTACAGTCGTGTTTGAAGGCATGGTAAGAAAATGGCTGAGATGCTTGTGTGGAAAGGCAGAGTTGTGCAAATGAATGCACAACTAAAGAAGTAATGCTACCAGCTTCAGGAGGAGTAGATAAATACAGCCAGTTAAGCATCTCCATGCACACTGGCACTTGGCTTCGATTACTTTTAAATGAATGTTAAATGAAATTTCCAACTGCTTCTGTAGAGGGATTTATGCATGTGTAAGGCTGTATCTGCATTGCAGAAATAATGCAGTTTTTAAAAAAATAATTCATTTTTATTAAACACAAATAACACAACATATACAAATACAGTAGCATACAAAAACTACAAACAAAAAAACAAGAGCAGCAGCAACAACAGTCCTAACATAAATCACACACAAGATAAACAAAAGCTAATAAACACTGTGACTTCCTCCCCCCACAAACTGATGATTATATTTCCCTGTTGCTAAACTCCTTTTGATTCATAATACACAAGGCTCCTATGATATAAGCAAATTCATTTCAGTTTACAAAACCTAAAACTGTTAACTGACCACAATAGGAATGCATGTAAGAAATAAACATTTCTTAGTCTTTTTAAAAAAATAAACATTTCCTAGTCTTAAAAAAAATTGTCAAGGATTTCTCCTTAATCAAAGTTGTCAATTTGTCTGTTTCAGCAAATTCAGCTATCTTCACCAACTTCTTGATTTAGAGTAGCAGCTACCTTCCACCTCTGAGCAAGAAATAATGCAGTTTGACACCTCTTTAACTGCCATGGCTTAATGCTACGGAATCCTGGGCTTTGTTGTTTGTTGTGGCACCAGCACTCTTTGACTGTGAAGGCTCAATAGCTTACAAAACTACAGGTCCCAGAATTCCATAGCACTGTGCCATGGCAGTTAAAGTGTGTCAAACTGCATTACTTCTGCAGTGCAAATGCAAGCATAAAAATTATCCTCCTTTCTCTATGACAACTGCAGACACCTGAATTGGCCCGGGGGCCGGATGCGCCCCCCCCCGAGGCCTTTGGACTGGCCCCAGGCCAGTCCTGCCACTGCCGCCGCCGCCGCCCGCCATGATAATATTGATTATTGTTATTATTACTTGTTCTTGGGGTTTTCTTGGCAAAATCTCCACAGGGGTTTTGCCATGGCTTTTCTGGGGCTGAGAGAGTGTGCATGCATATAGTTTTTTAATTTTTTAATTTAAATTTTTATTTATTTATTTGTGTATTTATTTATTTTTGGTGCTTTGGCCCCCCAATTGTCTGAGGGACAGCAACCCGGCCCCCGGCTCAAAAAAGTTGCCTACCCCTGTTTCAGAGCTTCTGTGGGGAGAAAAGGCTCCTCTTAGCTTCCAGGAAGAAAGAATGGAAAACAAGAAATAAAGATCCAAATAATATATTGTTTGCATGGAATGAAAATGTGCCATTCCTAATTTCATTTTCTGCTCTTTCCCCAATCAATCTAATTTCTCCCCATTATTTTTATATTTTTTCAAATTTATTTATTTTTCTTTATATAGATCACTTTCCTATACAGCAAAAACAAAACCATACAACATAAGGACCATAAAATTCCACTTAAAATTTTCTAAAGAGAGCCTTAATGGTCCCACTTATGGCTTTCATCATGTTGTTGCCCTGTCTATATTTCGCTGTTATTCAGTGGGGACCTCAGAGTTTGTCACTCTCCAGTCATGACCTTCTTTGGGTTTATTTTCTTACTATGGAAAATTTTGTTTTGGATAAAGGGAAAAAGAGTGGCACAGTGCCTTCCCATTTTTAGCATGAGGAGAGGGCATCTGTCTGTCTGAAGATGCCCTCTGTGCTCGCTCTTCTCAGTGCCAGAATGCATGTTGTTTTTTGACTGAACTCTGCAAACATGGGCAGTCTTTCCACAGCAAGCTCATTCCTGCCTCTTTCTATTATGTGAAGACAGGACATAGTGTCTAGGGCCTCTAGGCCTTGAACAATTTCATTTTAGATGTCTGGATTTTAGAGTTTTGTGCAATTCCCTCCATGACCACTGAGTGCCACTGGTTTTCCATTTGAGATCATTTGCCTCTTTTACTGGACTGGCATTAAAGATTGCTGTTCTTGAGAAAAAGGCTGGATGGCGTTTGATAACTAAATAATGTCCTGGTGCTCCATAGACTGAGTCCCCATGTCTGCCCCATTTTAATTCAAATCTATTCTGCTTTTTCATTCAACTCAGCTTAGACAGGTATACGCTATCTTGGCCAAATAAATGGTAGATCCTTTATTATTAGCCAGATGGGACAATCTGAGCTTTAGATGTTTAGGAAAGACAGTGAGAATACTGCCCTCATGTACTTCTGCATCTCTTGATGGATTTTGATGCCTTACATCTTCTTAGACTGACTGGGAGCTGGGAATAGGAGACATGATAATGGTACTGCTGGATCAGTAAAAAACACAGTAGCATTGTAGGATTCTCATTGAGTCCCAAGGCTTTTTAGCTGTGGGGTGCCAAAGGTTTTCATTCAGTCCTCCATATTATGTGACATCTTCATGATGCTGCTGGGTGAGGACATTGGGGTATTATAGCTGCCATCAGTATGCTAATGACACCCAGCTCTATTTCTCCTTGTCATCAGATTCAGGTGATGGTATGCAGGGCTTGGACTGGTGCCCTGGATGCTCTTGTGGGCTGGGTGATGGCCAATAAATTGAAGATGAATCATGACTAAATGGAAGCTCTGTGGATCAGTGGTTCCCAAATCCAGAAACTGGGTAAACCGTCTGCTCTAGATGGGATTGCACTCTCCCTGAAAGAGCAATTGTATAGCTTGACAGTACCCAGGATACATAATTGCTCACGGAGCCTGAAGAAGCCTTGGTGGATTAGGATGCTCTTAGCTAGGTACACCAGGCCCACCAACTATAGCTTTTGTTAGGCAGGAATAACTACTGGCCACAGTAATTAATGCACTAGTTCATGTCAGTCTAGATTACTGTGGATTACATGAGGATGCCCTTGCAGATAACATGAAAGCTGACAGTAGTGCAAAATATGACAACTAGATTGCTGTCCAGAGCATCATAGACACATCATGCAACATCTGTTTCTGATAAATTGTGGTGAATGCATAGAAACTGGCTGCCAAAGGCAAGGTTTTGCTCATGACTTTCAAAGTCCTAAAGAGCTTGAGACTCAGTACTTAGAGATATCTACCCTATTTCCCTACATATAGCCACATAATCATTACAATGTGTTGGGGGACAGTTAAGGGGTTCTTTTGTGTTTACTATTGGGAGCAGAGCACTACATGGAGATGCAAGGGAGGGCTTTCTATGCCCCACTTTGGCATCAAGTTAAAACCTGGCTGTTCA